TGTGTTGTTGTTTTTTCGCACTGCTTTGCTTTATCTTGGCCAGGTCGCAGTTGTAAATGAGAACTTGTTCTCAACTGGTTTACCTGGTTAAATAAAGGTGAAATAAAAAATAAAATAAAGGAGGGGGAGATGTGGGTGGCATCAGAGCGTCTCATCAAATTCTTCTGGAAAGTCTCCAAAACTGTCCAGTATGAAGGATAACCCTACCTTAACTTTCTCACACCATGTTCTTCATGCACATGTTCGTATTCCAGATCTGGTTAAGGATGGGTGTTTTCTACTTAAAAGAACACTCCCACAGGAAATTACTATCACAGGTAAGGTAGATTTCTTTGGAGTTTTGGCTGAGTCTATGTTGACAATAACACCTTTAGAACTTCAAAATGAAATGATTCACCATCACTACATGCCTGTGTAGTGCTAGAGGGTGGTGTATTGTGGTTGTGTTAACTCCTGCAGGTGTCAACTATAATGTAAATCAAATCAAATCAAAATCCAATTTTATTGGTCACATACACATATTTAGCAGATGTTATTGCGGCTGTAGCGAGATACTTGTGTTCCTAGCTCCAACAGTGCAGTATGTAGTGGACACACCTCTAAATGACTTTATCAGTAAATGGATGACTAGTGTGGGAGAAAGAAGAGATAGTGCTGGTGTGACGACACAGAAACTCAACAACAGAGACTTAATTGTTCATCACTGGGGCCGAGCTCCCTGCCATCCAGGACCTCTATATCAGGTGGTATCAGAGGAAGGCCTGAAAAATTGCCGAAGACTCCAGCCACCCAAGTCATAGACTGTTCACTCTGCTACTGTCCGGCAAACGGTAACATCGGCTCTCGAACAAACAGGCTCCGAGACAGCTTCTACCCCCAAGCCATAAGACTGCTAAATAGTTAATTCAGGAGAGTTTTCTTTTAATGCTCTTTACATTATTTGTCTTTTTACCTAATCATGCAAACATCGTCAGATACTGTATGTAGAAGGGCTTCATTTCACCCCCTTCACCTCTTTGAAACATGTTCTTAATCTCTCTGTCTGTCCTGATCTCTTTCTCTCTCACACAACTCAAATGATTAACTTAATGGACTGACACTCTGGACAGATAAGAATGTATTTATGTAGCTGAACTATGACACTTGTTCTTTAGATTCATTCTACATTATAACCTGGGATCTTTCCTGACTGAGCTTCACCCACGCTAATGGAGAAACAACATGTTGTGATGCATTGCCTTAGAGTAAAGGAGAGTGAGGTAGAGAGAGAGAGAGAGAGAGAATGAGAGGGAGAAAGAAAGATAAAGACAAAGAGAGGCATAAGAGACAGAGAGCTTTACAGCTCAATTCATGCTCTGAACCATCTGAGCTGTGCATGGTCAATGATTCATTTCGAATGGATCCTCAAAACCTATGCATAGCTCCTTCATCATCTCCTCATCATTAGTACTACCCACCTATAAGTACCCACCTTCCTTTGAGAGCAGAGATCTCTCTGTCCCAACTACTGCTGAGATGAAGGAGTGATCGAAGGCCAGATGTTCCCTAGAATCCCTAATGAAACCACAGCAGCAGCTGGGTCCATATCCGGGGGGACCACACCACAGTCCACATCTGTTACTGCTAGAGGTCAGGGCAGATTCATGCCCTGTTTCCAGTAACGCAAAGTCTTTGATCTTCAGAGCAAATATTCAACCACAATCCTCCTCTGGCAACTGTTTACAGGAAGGAATCGTTTGAGTTGTTTTGTAATAATAAGATGTTCTTTCTTCTGAAGATTTTGAAGTTGTTAGAACATTTATTGGAAAAGTTCATTCCTGAGCAAAAACTGATTTTGTTATATCCTTGGATACTCTTTATCCATATATAACTCACACAGTATTTATTTGACAGAGAGAGCACCTATGGTATTTTATTCGAGAGAGGGCTGCCCACCAAAACTCACAGACCAGGCAAGGAGGGCATTAATCAGAGAGGCAACAAAGAGACCAAATATAACCCTGAAGTAGCTGCAAAGCTCCACAGCGGAGATTGGAGTATCTGTCCATAGGACCACTTTAAGCCGTACACTCCACAGAGCTGGGCTTTACGGAAGAGTGGCCAGAAAAAAGCCATTGCTTAAAGAAACAAATAAGCAAACACGTTTGGTGTTCGCCAAAAGGCATGTGGGAGACTCCCCAAACATATGGAAGAAGGTACTTTGGTCAGATGAGACTAAAATTGAGCTTTTTGGCCATCAAGGAAAACGCTATGTCTGGCGCAAACCCAACATCTCTCATCACACCGAGAACACCATCCATGGTGGTGGCAGCATCATGCTGTGGGGATGTTTTTAATCGTCAGGGACTGGGAAACTGGTCAGAATTGAAGGAATGATGGATGGCGCTAAATACAGGGAATTCTTGAGGTTCACCTTGCAGCAGGACAATGACCCTAAGCATACTGCTAAAGCAACACTTGAGTGGTTTAAGGGGAAACATTTAAATGTCTTGGAATGGCCTAGTCAAAGCCCAGATCCCAATCCAATTGAGAATCTGTGGTATGACTTAAAGATTGCTGTACACCAGCGGAACCCATCCAACTTGAAGGAGCTGGAACAGTTTTGCCTTGAAGAATGGGCAAAAATCCCAGTGGCTAGATGTGCCAAGCTTATAGAGACATACCCCAAGAGACTTTCAGCTGTAATTGCTGCATAAGGTGGCTCTACAAAGTATTGACTTTGGGGGGGGGGGGGGGGGGCATGTTGTGTGGTAGGCATCTTCAAAGTCAAAGTGGTAGGCATGTTGTGTAAATCAAATGATACAAACCGCCCCAAAAATCTATTTTAATTCCAGGTTGTAAGGCAACAAAATAGGAAAAATGCCAAGGGGGGTGAATACTTTCGCAAGCCACTGTACACACACTTTTACACTCATCATATGCTGCTGCTACTCTGTTCTTTATTTTACTCTTATTATTATCTATCCTGATGCCTAGTCACTTTACCCTGCCTTCATGTACAGTTGAAGTCGGAAGTTTACATACACCTTAGCCAAATACATTTAAACTCTGTTTTTCACAATTCCTGACATTTAATTCTAGTAAATATTCCCTGTCTTAGGTCAGTTAGGATCACCACTTTATTTTAAGAATGTGAAATGTCAGAATAATAGTAGAGAGAATGATTTATTTAAGCTTTTATTTCACAAAGTAGATGTCCTAACCGACTTGCCAAAACTATAGTTTTATAACAAGAAATTTGTGGAGTGGTTGAAAAATGAGTTTTAATGAATCCAACCTAAGTGTATGTAAACTTCCAACTTCAACTGTACCTCAAATTCCTCATACCCCTACACATTGATTTGGTACTGGTACTCCCTGTATATAGTTCCATTCTTGTGTACTTTATTCCTCTTGTGTTAGTATTTGTGTTATTATTTTTTAACTGCATTGTTGGGAAAGGCTCATAAGCAAGCATTTCACAGTTAAGTGTACACCTGTTGTATTGACAAATACAATTGTATTTCATTTGTGAGGATAAGGTTGCTTTGTTTTTGCTCATATTAACGTCTGCACACAGTGAATAATCCTTTATGCTTTGCACACACAGCATTGCTGGACCAGCCCCTATAAAAGTGGATCACTTTCACTTGGAAACTGACATAGAAGAGAGAGAGTGGACTTATCAGTTGACGTCGCTTTAGGGGCATTTGCAGAGTGTGTGTGTGTTTGTGTGTATGTATGTGTGTGTGTGCATCTGGTTTGCATGATGGTGTTACATTCCCCCTCAAGGCCTCTCATTATGTCCACACCCATGACCTAGACCCACGGGTGAAAAAAAGAATTTACAGCGTTCGTTGTCTTTTCTTTTCCTGTTCTCTGTGTGGACTCTGAATGCAGAGTCGAATATTAAACAAACCAAGATTTCACTGCGTTTGTTGCCATTTCTTTTCCTGTTCCCCCACTTCAGCCCCTATCCAAGACACATTCCTGTGGGGTTAGGGAGGAGCCCATAATGCTCTCTTTACCACCATGCTTGAACAAACTGCATGCAGCAAGAGGGGCAGAGAGACTGGATGTACTTTCCAGTACATGATCAGGGAAGGTTTTAAATGGGCCTAACAGAATATTTGAAAGGCCTTGCCGGTCCGTCCGAGTGCAAAATAAAAGTTCAGGAACCATCAAAATATTGCACTTGGCTCACTCAAATCTTCTACTATTCATAATAATGACACAGCATATTCCCAGAACACAGATGGAGTTAATTTATTTATCTTGGCTTCCAGCAGTTCAATTCATCATCATTGAGATTATGCAATGATAGAAAGAGATAGGAACATGTAATGTATTTGAAGAGTAAACTATCTTCATTTCCCTAGAACAGAATAGAGTTTTAAAACGTTGCATGATAACTGCACTAAGGATTACATTAACATTACAAAATAGTTTTATCTGTCCACTTGCTTTAATTTTTTGGGAGATAGAAAAAACATAGAAAAAAATCGAATAACATTTATGTCATTTCAATTTTAAATCCATTGCATGGGACAGTTGATAGTTGAGAAAAAAAGCCAAGGGGACATTCCATTGTTTTCAGGCAACAACCCATTACCGATACAATGTTTCCCCCTGTCGGTAACACTTGTTCACTGCTTTCTTTCAATGTTACGAAGCTGCCTCACACCCAACCACAAGCTTTGAGCAACTGATCACATGTGAATAAATCATCAATCACGCCTGTGTACAATTTTTTTCACAGACCAAAAGAGGTGGAGTACTAGACGAGGAATGCGTTACCGACGTCGAGGTAGACAAGTGAGTAATCGAGGGCGGGGTACTTGTTACGGTCATAGGTCATAAATGAAACCGTCATTCCGACACCGGCAATGGCAGACGCATATGGACACAATTAGGTTACTGTATTTTGATTGATGTAAGGAAATTCCACCCTCTAATCCCCGCCCTTGACAGAAACACTTATACTTCTTGAACTTGCGTGTAGTGTCGTCTCTATAGTCTTGATGTTTCGAATGGTGGTAACAAAAATGGCACTGAAGTTAAATGTCAATTTATGCTTCTTTTTGGTAAGTACATATGAAGTACATATGAAGTTTTTTCTGTAATTTTCACATTTGATTTCCATATGTCAACTGCCTTCGAGTCTATGCATGTGATTTAATTGGCAAACGTTGTAACTTTTACTTTGTGCAGTGTTGTAATATTAGACAATATCACCGGCAAGGTGCGGCTTGTTGATACATCTACCTACAGTACATGCATACTATGTTCTTGAAAATGTCAATGTCTCATCCTTTTGGTTCCAATAATAGACAATACAAATAATTGCACTACGATATTTTTAACACAGCTATTGTATGATATGCAAGTTGTTAGACTGAACAATATCGCTCTCACATGTGTCAACTCCAGATCATCTCATGTGTGGACTCCTGCTTTATCCCCGGCTCCATACAAGCAACAGTACCTCAGACAGTACCAGTTGGACAAGTTATTTCAAAAGGTAGCTAAACATTCACAAATGTTTCAGTCCTGTCAAACGTTGTATGTAATTGATACTGAATGAAACAATCAATATAGTCATACACTTTTTATAACCAGTTGTCATCCTTAATCATCCTTAATCATAATCATGTTATCTTGCTTTGGATAATCCATATTGTTTTTAGTAATTGTATAGTTGATAACGTTTCTTTCTCTCTCATTGTTCAGTTGATGTCGACCACTGTGACACCAAGACATTGCACTTTACCACTAGTGACCCGGACTTCACCATACAGGCAGATGGAACTATAGTAGCAGTCCACATCACTATGGTACCAGCCAATGGCAGGACATTCTCAGTGCAGTTTCAGGACCCCAATGGTCAGAAGAGAGACATTGATGTTTACCTTGTCCAGAACTCTAGAAAGGTAAGGTGGATTCCACATTGGCTTAGAGTAAAATATGTTGAAGATGCTAGTCCCATACTTTTAAAATAAGTACTGTATTATGTTTGTAGTGTCGTGACTTTTTGTGACTTTCCCCCCCATGTTTCAGGTATTGAAAGATGGCCTACTAAAGCGCTCCAAAAGACGTTGGAGCCCTATGCCCTTCAACATCATAGAAAACGACATCCTTCCATTTCCAAAGGAAGTTGATCTGGTAATGTCCTTAAAATAAGTTACAACTTGCATCACATTTCAGCACATTCTGTCTATTTGAATATGGACAATAAACCTAAGCCTTGTCCATATTTCATGTAATGTAGTGATAACACACTCCTACATGAGCAACAGCCAAAATATCCTTACCCATGTTCCACTTTATTTCACACTCTTTCTCACATTCTGTACCTGTATGCTCCACGCCCTCACCAGATGGTACACACCCAACCACACACACGTATACACAGGATTAGTGGAAACTTTTGCTTAGTTGTTTTTTTCCCCTTCCTTTTAACCCCTCGCCTCCCTTTCTAACTACAATGCAGCTGGATTTGCACTGTAATTTAATCTCTTGTAACCTACCTAGGGATTTCATATTAATACAAAATAACTGTTGGGCTGTGTCTACTAGGGATGGGCACGGTTAATCTATTAATCTAATATTTGAACAGATGTTAGTATTGGATTACTTGTGTGAGTATTCCTTTTTTAGAATAAAAATATATAGGCCTATTTTAACAATGAAAAGGCTTTGTCTGAATTAAATAAAATGAGCAATGTGACATTGCTACACACAAGTATATACCATGACATTTTACATTCTTAATTTAATAAAACAACAAACTTTTGAATGTAGTTTTTATGATTTGCGCCACATAAAAAAGACATACCGGTAGCCTACACATGTTTCACACATGTAGCTTGTTATTGTCCGGCAATTAAAGTGGCAGAGGTTCCATGTTAGCCTAGCAGTTGAAGTGGGATTTTTATAATCAATGAATAATGGTTTTGAAATGACAGAATTAAGTAACCTTAATGAGATGGCTTAGACTATGTTGTGTCGAGTAAACGTTGCTAATTATGCTGTGTGACCAAGGAGGACCCGCTGACGCTGTACTTTCATCATAAAGGTTTATTCATAACAAAGGGTTACAGCGTCGATTTACAGATACCTGCAGATACCTGGAGAATAATCCCCCCATCTCAAATCTGATTATTCTGTCTTCCTTTGTCCCAACTGTGGTATATATTCTTTACCCTGCTGTGGGTGGTTTCCCATACAGACCAATCACCTGTATCCACACAACAGACTTCCTCTGTTCTATGGGGTGTCCCTCTAAAACTACTCCCTGGGCTAAATAAACCTCCTATCAGGTTCCATTTGAAAACGTTAGCAAAGTCATAATTCCTCAGATACTACAACTACAATGAGCAACCAACAGGTAAACTGTTGTTTAATTTGAATGTAGTTGTTGTAGACAAGAAACTAGGCAGAATGGATTTGTGCTTCAAATATAGCAGTTCTGTAACATATTCTATTGAGCCTCTCATTCTACTTAATTGCTGGACTCAACACGTTACGGAGAGAGATTAAATTACTGTGTAGGAAGCACTGGGGACAGGTTGTCTGGATACTGGACAGACAATAAATTGGCAGATGCAAACAGATTATCATCTTTAGCAGACAACAGTTCTTGAGGTTTGAACAAGAAATCTGTTTGCGATTTCGTTCATACTGGTGAACCGGCGTTTGAATTATGCGGTTGCAATATGAAAATATCAGGACACCAGGGGAGTCTCTCAAGTTGGATTTGACAGAATATTGCAGCCCATTTGTGTACGCTATTAACCAGACAAAACCCGCTGAGCTCATCATTAAATAGTGGCTGTATTTATCCTCAAGCCGACTAGTTTTTTCCTCATCGTTTGGCTATTTGATGTGTAATTTTTTATAAAACGTTTCTAAATAGCAGCTAAATACAGTATATTGCTGTAGATAGTACACTGCATAATGAAGCAATATAGTAAACTAGTGTTCTGAGGGTGGACTGACTGTATGTAGACCTATTATTTGGCATTAATAGACTGGTTTTACGCACAACTTTCTATCAAAGCTGGGAGAGAGCCCGAGGAGGGCTCATGTCATGCAGGTTGAGGTAGCCTATACAGGACAGTTGTATATTCAAATATATTGGTAGCTGATTAGTATGCTGTTGCATCGAACATTTATTTAACTCCGACCTTGCGGGGGTCCAGATAAACTGTGTTACGCCAGTGCAAGGACAAGGAGTGCAGCAAAATTATAGCCTCAATTAGCCTTGCTAGTTGGCTAACTCATGGCTACCGTAGCTAGCTAGCTTCTTTATATCGATTGGCACTACCAGATGGTATGATCGATAACCTATGGCAGCGACAAGTTTGTCAACCCAGTATCACAGCTTATTGTGAAATTGACACAAATTGCTTATTAGAAAATTGTGACTTTTTTCGTGTGCCTGTCACGAATTTCCAATAAGTAATTTGTGTCTATTTCACAATAAGCTGCGATAGTGTGTTGAGTTTAAGTAGCACGAGTATGGCTACTTTCTCCGGTCTCACACACACCGACACCTGCCCTTCCCCCGCCCTTCTGCAGCTCGCCGGAGCCGCGCAGCAAACAAGTGCTGTTTAGAAGAAACTTTTTTCAAAGGTTTCACAGAAAGCACACATGTATTTCGACTACCCGGATATCCCACCCAAAAATAATAATATTATTCGAATAGTGAAAATATTTCTAATACCCAACCCTAGTGTTTATACAGGCAGCCCAATTCTGATATTTTGCCAATAATTGGTCTTTTGACACAGCCTTAGTAACACTTAGTCAAAACGTATAATGCTTTAGACCTATTACTTTCTAGGTGTGTATGAGCATTTCTGTTTCGCAAAACGTAATGCTTTAAATCCTTACTGTACAATTTTCAAACCAGAATGATATGATTATCCCACTGCTTGTTAAAGCTTGACCCCAGATAATATTTGATTGTTTTCTGGTCCAGGTTGCATCTGATTCGTCTGCCACATACAATGTGTACTACACCCTCAGTGGGCCTGGTGTGACAGAGGACCCTGTGGGTGTGTTCAGTGTGGTAAAGGAAACTGGGATGCTGAAGGTCAACAGAGCTGTCGACCGCGAGATTACCCCTCAGTTTGTAGTGAGTAGTAAACAACAATTATTGATTTATTGCTTGATTGAATAATTGATTCATTCTTTATCTATGATGTTAAAACATGACATTTGTACTCTTGATGCATAGCACAGACAACACAATAAACAGTAAAGATGTTACTGACCAACGTCCACCTCTCTCTTTCTCCAGTTTCAAGCCAGAGTGTTTGACAGATTCACCAACCAGGAGACAGACTTACCATTACCCATCACAGTGAATGTAGAAGATGTGAATGACAATGCACCAACATTCACTGGCCAACTGCAGTTTACTGTGCTGGAGCAAAGCCATGCAGGTGAGAAACATACAGCTGAAGTAAGAAATACCAGAGTGCCTTTAGCCTCTGTAATACAGTACATAGAAAAAGTGTCATACGTTTCACAAATTAGTCAATTTACAGATACATTTGTCATATATCCAGACATTGTTTTGAAACAGGAACTTGTGGATGTGAACTAATAGCCTGTGTTTTGTGATGTGTTCCATTGCAGGTACCATGGTGGGGATGGTGAATGCCACAGACATAGACGAGCGTGGTACAGACCACACTAAGATCAGGTACTCCCTCCTCTCTGGGACCGACCTGTTCTACATCAACCCAGAGACAGGAGTCATCAGCACCAAAACAGATACTCTTGACAGAGAGGTGAGAGTCAGTCTCCTCTTCGTACTTTCAAAATATCTCCCTTAGATTTCCAGGGTTCCACATTGTTGACCACTGCTATCATTGTTAGAATTATTCATTTTTAATATACACTGAGTGCACAAAACATTAGGAACACTTACTCTTTCAATGACATAGACTAACCAGGTGAATCAAGGTGAAAGCTATGATCACTTATTGATGTCACCTGTTAAATCCACTTCAATCAGTGTAGATGAAGGGGAGGAGACAGGTTAAAGAATGATTGTTAAGCCTTGAGACAATTGAGACATGGATTGTGTATGTGTGCCATTCAGAGGGTGAATGGGCAAGACAAAATATTTAAGTGCCTTTGAACAGGGTATGGTAGTAGGTGCCAGGCGCATCGGTTTGAGTGTGTCAAGAACTGCAACACTGCTGGATTTTTCACGCTCAACAGTTTCCCGTATGTATCAAGAATGGTCCACCACCCAAAGGACATCCAGCCAACTTGACACAAATGTGGGAAGCATTGGAGTCAACATGGGCCAGCATCCCTGCGGAATGCTTTCAACACCTTGTAGAGTCCATGCCCCAACGAATTGAGGCTGTTCTGAAGGCAAAAGGGGTGCAACTCAATATTAGGAAGGTGTTCCTAATCATTTGTACACTCAGTGTATATTTGACCTAAATGTATATTTGGGGATTTTGTTTTTCAGGTGAAAGACAAGTATTTGGTGACAGTGGAAATCAAAGACATGAATGGAGCTCTGAATGGTCTATCCAACACTGCTACAGCCACCATAGTGTTGGGAGATATCAACGACAACCCTCCCACTTTTACAAAGACGTCTGTAAGTTAAAAAAAATAATCCTGAATAAAAAATTTACAGTAAAGACATTTTTGTATCGCAGTTTATTCGGCAGCAAAACAATAGTTATGGTGAAAATGTGCTATATTTTGTTTGCTATACAGTATGGATATTCAATACACCTCAGTCAGATAATTGAACATGCTGCTTTCCTCTTGCAGTATAGTGTGAACGTTATGGAGAACCAAGAGAAAGGCCTTATCCTCAGAATCCCTATTGAAGACAAGGACTTACTTAACACACCAAACTGGAACTCTGAGTTCATCATCACCAAGGGGAACGAAAATGGGAACTTCAGGATTGAAAGAGACCCAAAAACAAATGAAGGACTAATTTACCTAACAAAGGTGAGTTGGTACTCACAATGATCTGATCTTGACTTTCATATTTATTTATAGAAAAAGGCTAACATATAATTTCGGTGAACTATCCCATAACATAAAGACAGTCAAAATATTGAACCAAAATACTTATTTACTCTTGTACAATGACATTGTCATTGATAGCTGATAGACCAATAATAATGCAATAAAATGCCACTCCATGTCCTCGCTGTGTCTCCAGCCTCTAGACTACGAGAAGACCAAGAACCTAAAGTTTGAGGTGTTGGCCCGTAACCAGGCTGAGCTGAGTGGGACCAATGCCAAGTGGGTGTCCATCCCTGTGAATGTCACAGTGGGGGACGTGGACGAGGGACCTGAGTTCACTGCCCCAACCGTACTCTTCACTGTCCAGGAGAATACTCCAAACGACACCCTGATCGGAACATACACAGCCGTAGACCCAGAAACCAAGAGCAGTGCCGGCATTAAGTAAGATCTTAGTTTACCTCAATGTCATACATTATTAGCCTGGTCCCAGAGATGGCATATTGTGTGACCATATTGATAATGGACATAGTAATAATATGATGTTATAACAAGTAAGGTCAGATTGTGTTTTAATAGAAAATAGAGGTACAGTGAAATACAGAATGCCATGTTTTTTTCTCTCTCCAGCACTTGATGGCAGAATTGCACCATTATGCTCATGAATGCTGTAATACCGTCTTCTCTCTCTGTTCCCTCTCAGGTATTACAAAGTCTCAGACCCGGCTTCATGGATCAATGTCGATGAAAGCACTGGACAGCTGAAGATCGCCAACACAATCGACAGGGAGTCCCACTTTGTAGTGGATGGCGTTTACAACGTCACCATGAAAGCTGTGGATGCCAGTAAGTAGATATTGTTACACAGTGTCTCGCATGTCTTTATTAAATATCTGTGTAGTCAGGATGATCTTAACTCATCTATTGCTAGGAAAAACTCTGGACCTGATGCATAAAACATCTTAAGTGTTTCCTTTAAGGACCGGCATACTTAAGGGATTTTACCCCAGAGTTTCTAAACCCAGAGGCGCAACATCATGAGACTTCCGGGAACGCTTGCGAAACAGACCAAACAGACCAGGCTGGAGATTGGGAAATGAAAAATGCTTCCTTAGTTGTTAATTTTATCGATCTAAAGGCACAACCTAGATTCGAGCCAATGTCTTATGTAGTTGAACATGTTATTACTCCAACCTTGTGAAAGTGGCAAACTGACACGCTTTCATTTTAGTCCAAAACTACTTTATATCGAAGGAGTGCCTTTGATTTGACGGCCTGCACATGAACAGTTCGGCGCGAGACGACCGTTAGACCCGATGATGTGTTTCTGCGCATGAAATTAACTAGCCAACGTCGCCATGACATCACCTACAAGTGTGATCGGAGATTTCTAATGGAGAAGCAATTTCTGCATATCTTCATACTGTACTCTCTTTGGTTTTACGGTAGTTTGAAGGTATGTATGGCAGAATGAGTCTCTGGTTACCATGGAGACGACCATCACTGGCTGAACGTCTCGTCATAGAGATCGCATTTATTGTAGGAGATCGCAAAATAGAACTACATTCAAGACAGGAGAAACAAGTTGATTCAGAAGATAATAAAACACGTTTCTTGTAGTTTTTTTCTCAACTTGTTTCTATTACTTTCTAGCAGGTCAAGCTAATTTACAGAGTAGGTAGCTGGCAAACCTTTTTTTGCTTTGTCATTATGGGGTATTGTGTGTAGATTGATGAGTGGAAAAAAAACGATTTAATCCTTTTAGAATAAGACTGTAAGGTAACAAAATGTGGAAAAAGTCAAGGGGTATGAATACTTTCCGAATGCACTGTATATGGGACCTTGTGGGCACCCTTTCCCCTTAATTTAAGGGGGCAATTCTCCTTAAAATGTTTTGTGCAAATGACTTAACATTAAAGAAACATTAAGGGAAAAGATAAGCGGGAAAATAACTTAAGATGTTTTATGCAACCGGCCCCAGGGCCCTAGTTCTAGCCCTCCAGCTAATAGCGTGCTAATCCTGCATTTGCTTTCTCCCAGTGCTTCTATCACTGTAACAAGTATCAACACTCTATAACAAGGAAGAGACTGAGCATCGTAATAATAGCTAACAACACCACTGTGCCCTGTTCCATCTCCTCAAGGCCTCCTTTTACTGGCATGTTGGGACTGACTCTCTGATATTGGAGTGTGTCTGCACACCTTGAATTACACCACAGAGGATGAGAGGTTGTCGTCGTCTTTACGCCTTGGCTGATGTTACCTAATACCTAAGACATTCTGGTGTTAGCGTCAACCACCCCATCCACCCTCGTCAATGTTCGTTTTATGTTCACACAGACAACACAATAACTCTTTGTGTGTTGTTTAAGAGACAGGATGAGGAGTATAGTAGTCACTCTGTAACACCTGGTGTGATCATGTCATTGAGGTCCATGACATTGTGTTACTCAGTTCTATTCCAGATGTGATGATGATGGGGGTTTTGGGCATACGCTATCTACTGGTCCTTATCTCTGTTTTGCATTTATAACAGGGAGTGACTGTGAAAATATCAGTACTGTATGCCATCTGTAACTGAACTTTAAAGTTTTCCCGTTTATTGTCATGTGTGAGAGTGAATAGATTGGAAATCTGACTCACTCAAGTTCTCACAATCAAAACACAATAAAAACAGCAAGAAGGCATTGTTCATAGATATGTTATCGCGTTTCTTACATATGTCTCCTTTCTCCTAGGTCAGAAGACAGGTACAGGGACGGTGATTATTCAAGTGGAAGACATGAACGACCACGTCCCAGACATCCCCTCTAAAGACCTGTTGTTGTGTGAGAAGGATGGGGGAGAGATGGGCTCTGTGCTGGTGGTAGCCGAAGACAAGGACCACGCTCCCTTCTCCGCCCCCTTCAGCTTCAATCTGGGAGAGAAACATGATGAGAAATGGGCTGTGAAGCCACTTAACAGTATGAAAAGGATTCCTACCTCCTGACTCCATTGCATCTCTATATTAATTGATGTCTTGCAAATGTGATTTAAAAGATGAAGCAGTTATTTAATGGGGAAGAAGTCCATAAATGTACAATTTTCATCTTATAATGAATAGTCAGTATCATACATTATTGAATACAACTTTAAAGCCGAAATACTCTCTAGAATGCAACCTCAGCAGAGCCACCTTACACGGCACCTGTTAACTGATATTCTTTAGTGAAATGTTTTTAGAGCCAGGAGTTTACAGTGTAACCTCACCAGGAAAACTAGTGCCCAAACGTCTGTTCCTAACAACAGTGTATTTCCTCCTCAGACACTGCAGTGATGTTGGAGCAAACCAAGGAGCTCCCCACCGGCCTGTACACTGTCCCCCTGATGGTGAAGGACCTGCAGGGCTTTGGAAAGACCCAGACTGTGACGGTCCGGATCTGCCGATGCAGGAACGGCGCGTGTCTGGCCCAACAGAACTCCACATCTCTGGGGGTGTGGGCCATCCTGGCTATGCTGCTAGGTCTGGCTCTGCTACTTCTACTCTGTGAGTCTCCACTGGGCTATTATGGACATTCATATTATTTATGTAGGCCTGACATATTAGTGTCAAAGCAATAATAAGATAGGACAACATATAAAACTGATGAGATATTAGAAATTGGATGGTGAAGTCTTTAACAGCTGATAACAGCTAGTATAGCTCTATTCCTTAACAAATGGCTTGTGCTTCTTGTCCATCTGACAGCCTTGTTGTTGCAGTACCACTCACACACTTTCTTGTTGGTTCTTTATCGCAGGTATCCTCTGTGCATTCGTCTGTGTGACAAAGAATGAGAAAATGGAGCTGGAGGATATGGGAGACAGTGGTGGTATCCTGCTGACGTCTAACATCGAGGCCCCAGGGGATGCAGTGGTATGGCCGTCATAATGAAAGTATTATGAACACATTGCTCATGGTCATGAAATCAAAGCAGATTTCAGTGTTACATCCTCATTTGTATGCATACGTTTTTTTTATGTCTCCTCCTCAGGATTCAAATCTCATCATCGTTCCAAAGTCTGCTATTGACCATTCAGTGAAGGGATCCATGATTGACGTGGGGTGGGCTGGAGCTAAGAACTCGGGTAAGATGGGAGGAGGCCTGGGCACTCAACAGAACCTGCTACAGCAGTCCGGCAGCGTCATTGTGACCGATATGCAGAACGGCTTCTCTGACCAATACGACGGCAGTCAATACGGTGGACAAAATGGCAGTGGACAATTTGGTGGAGGTCAATATGGTGGCGGACAATATGCCAGTGGCAATATGACTTTTGACAACACACGTTTCATGAAGTTCAACAACTCTGCAGCCTGGAACACCTGGCAAACCAACGGGCTGTTTCTACAACAGGTAAAACAACTCACACAATGTCAATGTGTTTAACTTTAGTCTGAGTAAAACACAGTCAATTGATAATATCATCATGATCAAATGTTCTGCCTTTTCTCTAAGGTTTAATGTAGTTCTTACTATTGGTAAAAGCCTAGACAATTCCGATGTGTAATGTTAGCTTGCTTATTGGCTAAACCCTGGGATTCTGTGTCAGCTTTCATGTATCTCGTCTGGTCAGTGAAATGTTTGCTGTTCTCAGTGTAATATCCGTCAGTAATATCCTGTGGAAGGATGTAATATCACCTACTGTAATATCTTCCCTCCCATCGGGCTAGTTCTTGTCTGCTCCCTATGGACTAATAACAACATGCATTCTCCACTTTCCACCTCATCTTTTACCTTGTCTGCTACCATGTCTATCCTGTCTCAACATGTTTACCTGGTCTACCTTTTCTTTGCAGAAGTTGGCTTACCTAGGGACGGAAGAGGAGGGACGGTACGCCGATGATATCATCCACGCGTACGGCTTCGAGGGGGTGGGGTCTCCAGCCGGCTCGGTGGGCTGCTGCAGTGACCAAGGCAACCAGGAAGACCTGGACTTCCTAAACAGACTGGGGCCAAAGTTCAACACGTTAGCTAAGGTCTGCACTAACAAATGAACCAGGAAGATCTATTGCAATATTGTTTTTACCACTGAAAGTGTTTTCCCATGTTTGTTTTTGTTGATAATTATTATCAAGGGTGATACAAAACATTGAGTCAGTGTCATCACACTGAATTGCTCAAACTGTTTGTTGGTTAGAGCCTTTTTGCACTGGAAAGTACGATGTATTTACTTGTAAATAGTGTACATTTAGTGATTTAAGTGCCAAAGCTTCTATTTTTGTTTATTTTTTACTTGGTCATGTTCTCTTATTTGTATATTGTGGTAAGAGTTTCAGTGTTGTAAAAAAAAAAAAAAAAAGAGTTTCAGTGTTGTAAAATTAAATGTTTGTCTCAGTGTTGTAAAAAAAAAAAAAAAAAAGAGTTTCAGTGTTTTAAAATTAAATGTTTGTCTCAGTGTTGTAAAAAAAAAAAAAAAAAAAGAGTTTCAGTGTTGTAAAATGTAAATCTTTGTTTATGAGATGCTGTAAAAACAGTACTTGAATGTTAGATTGGATGATTAGATTAGATTTGTCTAATTACCTATGAACTGATTGGGGTACAACCATTACTCAATAAATTCTATATTTGTCTTTCAATGTTAGATAACCTGAATAATTACACATTGCACTTATTGTCCTACCTATATGTTGTACCATTGTACGTTCTGTACAAGTCAACACATGATAATTAAATAAGTAGAGTGAATGTGACCATCTAAAGCAGACTGACTGTATGTAATTGAATAATTATTTTATGGCTACGTTTGTGTGGTGAGATTCTAAATGACACTTCTTATCACTTTCTAGCATGCCATCAAAGAGTAAAACTGAGTGTTGATTAGGCAACATTGGGGCTTCCATGTTGAATTTGTCACACACTACAATTGTCCGTCCAATTCATTTTATTCTTATGGTTGATTGGCTGCAGAAAAAGCCTTGTGTTTAGACTAGAATATAATGTACTGGGTGCTTCTGTTTAGAATATAAAGTTATTGGTGCTTCTGTTTAGAATAGAAGGTTCCATCCCATATGAGAAAAAAAAATACATTTAAAATATATTTGTAGGTACATTTTTTAGGATACATGTAACATATTTAATTGGACAAATATATGCACTACCGGTCAAAAGTTTTAGAACACCTACTCATTCAAGGGTTTTTCTTTATTTGTACTATTTTCTACATTGTAGAATAATAGTGAAGACATCAAAACGATGAAATAACATAGATATAATATAGAATCATGTAGTAACCAAAAAAGTGTTAAACAAATCAAAATATATTTGAGATTTGAGATTCTTCAAAGTAGCCACCCTTTGCCTTGATGACAGCTTTGCACCATGCTTCATGGTGGGAACCACACATGTGGAGATCATCCGTTCACCTACTCCGTGTCTCACAAAGACGGTGGTTGGAACCACAAATCTCAAATTTGGACTCATCAGACCAAAGGACAGATTTCCACCGGTCTAATGTCCATTGCTCGTGGTTCTTGGCCCAAGAAAGTCTCTTCTTATTGGTATCCTTTAGTAGTGGTTTCTTTGCAGAAATTTGACCATGAAGGCCTGATTCACGCAGTTCCTCTAAACAGTTGATGTTGAGATGTGTCTGTTACTTGAACTCTGTGAAGCATGTATTTGGATTGCAATCTGAGGTGCAGTTAACTCTAATTAATTTATCCTCTGCAGCAGAGGTAACTCTGGGTCTTCCTTTCCTGTGGCGGTCCTCATGAGAGCCAGTTTCATCATAGCACTTGATGGTTTTTGCGACTACACTTGAAGAAACTTTAAAAGTTCTTGACATTTTCCGGATTAACTGACCTTCATGTCTTAAAGTAATGATGGACTGTCGTTTCTCTTTGCTTATTTGAGCTGTTCTTGCCATAATATGGACTTGGTCTTTTACCAAATACGGCTATCTTCTGTATACCACCCCTACCTTGTCACGACACAACTGATTGGCTCAAACGCAATAAGAAGGAAAGAAATTCCACAAATTAACTTTTAACAAGGCACACCTGTTAATTGAAATTCATTCCAGGTGACTACCTCGTGAAGCTGGTTGAGAGAATGCCAAGACTGTGCAAAGCTGTCATCAAGGCAAAGGGTGGCTACTTAGAAGAATCTCAAATATAAAATATATTTTGATTTGTTTAACACCTTTTTGGTTACTAGGTGATTCCATATGTGTTATTTCATAGTGTTGATGTCTTCTACAATATAGAAAATAGTAAAAATAAAGAAAAACCCTTGAATGAGTAGGTGTGTCCAAACTTATGACTGGTACTGTACATATATTTTTTCTTAAGTACGTTTCAACATATATTACGGAATATATTTAAAACATTAGGAAACCTGCTCTTTCTATGACATAGACTGACCAGGTGAATCCAGGTGATTCCTTATTGATGTCACTTGTTAAATCCACTTCAATCAGTGTAGATGAAGGGGAGGAGACAGGTTAAAGAAGGATTTTTAACATTGATTGTGTATGTGTACCATTCAGAGGGTGAATGGGCAAGACAAAGATTTAAGTGCCTTTGAATGGGGTATGGTAGTAGGTGCCAGGCGCACCGGTTTGAGTGTGTCAAGAACTGCAACACTGCTGGGTTTTCACTCTCGACAGCATTCCTGTGTGTATCAAGAATGGTCATCCAGCCATCTTGAAACAGATGTGGGAAGCATTGGAGTCAACATGGGCCAGCATCCCTGTGGAACGCTTTCGACACCTTGTAGAGTCCATACCCTGACGAATTGAGGCTGTTCTGAGGGGAAAATGGGATGCAACTCAATATTAGGAAGGTGTTCCTAATGTTTTGTGCATTCATTGTAATTTATATATAAATTAGGAACCACTTTGGCCACCCTGTAGAATAGATGTCATAGCCATGCATTTCTGGATTATTGTCAGGCATTACATGCATTTCAGCAAAGATGCAACAGGGAGGGGTTAGAACTTAGAAACATACATGATACATCTCTGTATGTTCCTAGGTTCTAACCCCTCCCTGTTCACACATTCAGCCTCAGACTGAATTCCACAGTATGACTGACTCACTGTCAGACATGTCTCATCAACAACCCCTATAATCCCATGTCTATCAGCATCTGTCTCATCAGAAATGTATATTCTAAACAGAAGCACCCAGAACCGTATCTTCCTAGGTTAGTCATAACGACGTGTGATTGATTGATTCAACAGCAGTGTCATAATACACTTTGATCTTATTTTATATATAGTGTGTTTACCAGAGACAATGTGAAGAACAACATGTTAGGATATAGGCCAAGGACTAGATAAAGTGTATTTTTACCTGGTGATTTTCCTTGTTGTAGGCTACTTCTTTCACCACCTGTTTACTATACTACCTTAATCATTCAGTTTAGTACATGGCCTCATATGAATACTTAAATAGATTGGTGGGGCTAAGGCTTAAGAGCGTGTAACAATGCTGAATGGGCACACTAAAACAAGAGCTCTTGAGCAAGTGTGAAAAACTTTCATGGGGATTTTCTGGTACTTGTCTAGAAGGTAAGATTAACACGTTGATCATGTTTCAAGTAAGCATAACCTTCCCATGTTTCCCCCAACTGCAGTGTATGAAATACAATTTTAAAGTTCTGAGTCTGTACTTAATACATGTACTAAAAGCCAATTTTGGAAATGGTTCATGAGACTCAAATGGGAAATGTATTCACGTGTTCTTATTATTCATTTGGAATTGCGTTACCAAACTGACCCACTTTGTAAACTAATCGTGTTGCCTATTTTGTCAAATTCTGCTAATATGACTTTTAAAGTAAATAATATAAAATACACCTGTTGTGTCATGCACTTTGGTCATGCTGTTTTACTGTAAACCCTTCATATTTAGTAGAGCGAGAGAGAGAGGATTAGCTTGTAACTATTGTTACTTATGCCTGGATAAGCCTAGTAAATGATTAATAGGGTGTGGTTAATTGTACAGTACATTACACATAAGCCAAGTCTTGCACAATAACTGACATCATGAGGTAACTAAGGACACTTTATTCACCCTTGAACAAATATTCAGCTCCACCAACTGGCAACAGAGAAATATTGCATGTCTGACAATGATTAGTATGTGTCTGTTAAAGGGTACCATCTCAATCATTGATGACTGCATTCATGTGATCAAGACCAAATTAAAATATTTAACAAGAAAATAGCCTTTGACTCAGTGTCACTTTGCAACATAAATTGGCCCAAACTAGATACATAAGATGATCTCAAAGTTTAATACAAATATTGTCAACCCAATCTACTAATAAAAAGTGGTTCCCTTACCATAACTGTTTTGAGAAAGCCCCATTATTATGGGAGGATTCAATCTAACAGTAATTCAAATCATTATACAGTCTAGGCATATTTAAAGAAAATAGTGCTATGTTTGAATGGTGTGTTTTGTGACAAGAACTGAGCATACGAAGAGGCAGGACGCAGACGCAGGAATTAACAAGGTCAAGGTTTACTTAAACAATGACAAAGAGAAATAACAAAGATAGAGTACACGACACGAAGCTAAACAATCACACACTACATCATCCAGAACAGTCCAGGGCTAAATAGGGGTGGTGGTGAGATGAGGTGCAGGTGCGCTGGAGGTGATTAGGGTGCGTTGGGTTTCCATTCCGGTGTTGCACTCAGACCGGTGGCTCAGTAGACCGGCGAATCAGAGACCGGAGGGGAGCAACTGGAGGAGACGTGACAGTACCCCCCCCCCCCCCCCCCCCCCCCCCCCCCGGATGCGCGGCTCCAGCCGCTGGATGTCGCCGGCCAGGAGGACGACCCCGAGGACGAGGAGCGGGCCGGTCAGGGTGGCGACGGTGGAAGTTCCGAATTAGGTTGGGGTCCAGAACGTCCCCAGCCGGAACACAGCTCCTCTCCTCAGGAACATACCCCTCCCAGTTCACCAGGTAATGGAGCCGTCCCCCACGAAACCTGGAGTCCAGCAGATCCCTCACCGCATACACCGGACTTCTGTCAATGTCCAGGGGCGGAGACTCAGTAGACTTTTGCATCTCATATAGCAGGGCGCAGGAGGAACTGATTTGGGATCAGTTTTGCTGTTTCGATCACAATATATCACATTAAATGGACAGAAGGGACCTGATCCTAGCCCCCCACAAACCGGGGGCTCAGTTTCTTGCAGAGCAGGCGGAGAGGGAGGTTTTTTGTGGACAGCCAGACACGATCCCCAGGCTGGAATACAGGGGCCTCACTGCGGTGGCGGTCGGCTTGGTCCTTCT